CCCGGTTCCGTGGGGGTGGGGGGGCCAGGCAGCCCTTGAGGACTTCAAGTCCCGGCATGCACCGCTCCGGGGGGCCCCGCGGGGCCTCCCGCTCCTCCCCAGGCCCCCCCGGTCCGTCCGTCCCGGCTTCCGGCACCGGCTGCTCCCCCCGGTCACCTCTGGGGGGTGGGACACACCGGGAGGAGCCCCTCGGGTTGTCCCTCCGGCTGCAGGCGAACAGACCAGGCCTCTGAAGCAGCTCTGGCAGGATGGCGGCCCAGAGGCCTCGTGTCGTCACTTGTAACGCAGCGTTTAGCGGAACCGGGTGAAGCTTCGGCACGGAGGAGATGCCCTTCCCGGCCACGAGGCCAGGTGTGTGCACTGGGCACGGCTCAGCAGCTTCTGTCAAACCAGCTTAAAATAACCCTTGTGTTTCCTGTGGGTGCAGTTGAAGGAGCTCAGAGATCTAGGAGGAGATGGGGGGGCTGGATGGGAGTGTTTCTGTGACCTTCACCTGGATCAGACCATCCCAGGCGTGTTGCTGGAGTTCCAGGGAACAGTTTGGACTCAGTTTCTGCTCCAGGTTTGCGGGGCAGGAGGTTTGTTACACGGTGCAACACGGAGCCCTTGTTGAAAGGCTGGCCACGATTTCCAAACCCTCCCAGTGGGCAGTTCTTAACCCAAAAACAGTTAGTCCTTCATGGGTGTGGGATACTGGAATGGGGAACCCCTGGGGAGAAGCAGAGCTCAGCCTGGGGGGGGGGGTTCATGCTGTATTTTGGGATGTGGGAAAGGCAGGGTGAGGGGTTGGCTGGCTCTGCTGGAGATGGTGGCCAAGATGTCCTGCTTGGTGCTGTCCGTGTGGCCACGCAGGGAGCAGGAGCCACTCCTGCCAGGTGATGGAGCAGCAGAGCTGACAGTGCTGCAGGGTGTCACCCGCCCATGGAAACCCCCCATCTGGTGCCTTGCACCTTCTCCCTTGCAGCATCAGCAACGGATGCAACTTCCCCAAATGGCCCCGAGTTCAAACAGCCCGTTGAGGGTGGTGGGGCCAAGTGGAGGGGAAGGAAGGTGCGATTGGTGCGATGGGGCCACCGCGGTGCTTAAAGCCTCCTCCGGGGAGCGCTGCCCGCAGCTGAGGAAGCGTCTCCACACGCTGAGCTGAGCCCCGACCATGCAGCCCCTCCAGCGCTCCCACCTGCTCCTCCTGCTCGCCCTGCTCACCCTCTGCGTGGTAAGGGGGGCCCCACAAAGGCTGGGGGGGGGGGGGGGGTGGTGTCCAGCCCATCCCATGGGTTTGGTGGGGAGGCTGTTGGGTTCAACTGGTGGGAGAATTGATGAACTTCAGTTGGAAGCTTGAGCGTTTGTTTGACTTTGTTTGACTTTAGCCCTGGTTGTCTTACCAGGAGCTTTGCACCTGTAAGGTCTTAATTCTTCTATACATTGCTATTTTTTAAAGTTTTTTAATCTTCTTTGCTTAAGAACATCATGCATTGTCTGTAACCTTCACACTTAGCTCTCCACCCTGCCTTGCAGCCTTTGCTTGCTGTCTCCATGGCTCTGGGGACACTGGGAATGCCAAGCCTGGTGGTGCTGGGTGGATGCACAGTGTGGTTTCTTCTCACCTCTTCCCTCTGGAGGTTGTTTTCCTTCCTACCAGGAGGCTCTGTTGGGACTCAGGTCCAACACAGCACTGGTGGATGTAGCTCTCTCTGGGTGGGGACCCTTGTGTGGGAGGGATGAAGGTGCCAGTACTTTTGGGGAGGGTGATGCTATTCAGATCAGCTCTCTGGTTGATTTATTTTCTCTACAGCCTGTTGGTTAAAAGGGCCAGGTCTGTCTCTGTGTGTTTCCCTCACAAACCCCACACAGCTGTGACCTGTTGCCAGGTCTGTGGGGGGGTGGGGGGGGTGGATGTTTTGGGAGCCCCAGCCAAAACCCCTCATTGTGCAAGAGTGCCTGTGAGGGGGCAGAGCTGGGACCCCATCCCTGGCCCACTCTGGAGGGACCCAAGGAGAACTGCAAACCAAGCTGGGAGCTGGTTCATGGGGAAGGGGTCTTCCCTTTTCCCACAGCACTTGTTGCTGTTCTCCCTGCTTTTATACCAAGAGTCCTGGGAAAGGACCAAAAACCCTGAGCAGGGCAGGGAGGGACTGACACAAATACCTTCCTTTGGAAGGTGCTGATCTTTAGAAGGTGGAAGGAAACTGCCCTGGCATCACCATCCCATCTGGGGGATGTTTCACACACCGAATGCAACTTCCTTGCTTGCGACAGCCTTGGGGGGCTGGGGGTCCTCCTTGCTTCCAGCCAGGGGTGTTGCCCAGCTCTTCTCCTGCACCCCACATCCCCAGCTGCTTTTTCACAGTGGTCTGAGGGTCAGAGGCACTTCCTCCCCTAAAATTTAGAAGAGCTGCTGCACAGGGAAAACTCTAAAGCCAACAGGGATTTCTGCTGGGAAGGGAGAGGAAGCCCCGTGTACCCCCTGGCTCCTTTATGTCCCAGGGAAAGGGCTCTCGGGGGTTTTCCTTCCTGTGCTGCTCCTGTTCAGCGTGATGTCTGACTCGTGTTTTCTTTCCCAGCCCCTCGGCCGGGCGGACGAGTCGGAGAAGGGCGGAAAGGCTGAAGCAGCATTTCAAACCACCACCTCCCCTCCCAAAACCTCCGCAGTTGGCCTGAGCCCTCCGTCCGCAACCCCCCAGCTCTTCTCCCTCACCCTAGGGCTGGCTGGGGCTTTTTTCCTGCGGCTGCGCTGACCGGGAGACTCGCCCCAACCCCAAACCCGCTCCCACCCAGAAGACACCCCCTCTCTCCCCGGGATGGCATCTCCTGACAGCATGGAGGAATCAGCTGGCACGACTCCATTACTCCTCCACAGCGGGTCTGCTGTGACTCTCTGAGAAATAAAGCGCTGGTGTAGAAGCTTCGGGCTGGGCTCGTTGGGGAGCGGAGCCCCGGGCGCGGCGGGTCCCGGTCCCGGTCCCGGCGCGGGGAGCGG